CTAAGGTCCCCAGCTTTGCCTCCCATAGGAAATAAATAAATTATTCAACCTCGTAATATAATGTCTTGAGTAAGTCTCCTTAGGTCCACGCTTAAAGTAATTATGTATCATTCTTTTAATAATAATTAAAGCTGCCTATAGATAACTCTAATTTATACATGCAGATGGGGCTAAGCGAACAAATCAAAACAGGCCATACGAAGCAATGTCTGATTCATTAGCAGTATTACATGCCTTTGTATAATGGCAATTAAGAACAGGATTTTCGCACAAAGTTAATGTTGCACAGACCTATCTAATATAAAAATTTATCAAAATAAAAATACATAAGTGAGATCATAAAGTCCAAATTTTTGGATACGATCAAAAAAGTTACACGAAAAATAAAATCATCCATTTGATCCGACAAGTCAGTGGCAATTCTAGAATAAAATGTTAATTCAATCCACCTGCAAAAGTATACATACATTTTTCATGTCCGATTGCCATTCTTTGAGAAGATAAGCTCTTTCCCTGGGTGATAAGTTTGAAAAAAAAACATTGTGTAATTAATAGCTTGATATAGTTCAAAACGCACTCATTCAGGGCAATTTTGAGATATTATAATAGTCTTGAACTAACGTATCTATTCCTATAGGTGCCTAGCTCTGCTTCCTATTCGATTATTGATTTTTCGCTGGCTACAGCCGCTACATACTGTGCTGTGACTAAATCAGTGAACAAGGCCTCCCAACGTTTTATAAACCAACACAAGCCGGAACAACCATATTCAGAAATATATCAATATCTTTAATTATTGCCCAATAATAGCTCAAAAAGCAATATTTTCATGTGACTCAGACCATTGTAAGTTTAACATGGTTCAAATACATTTTTCGCCTTATCACAAAGTATTGAATAGACTTTGGACTTTTTTGTTTTCACTAAAAACATTTTGAATTATTTTCAAGACTTTTATTACAGATACTTATACGTTCACGTTGCCTATGCCTCTTCTAACTCCTTTCTGATACTTGTAAGCCCTTAGCATGTGGTGTAGAGACAGAATGTACAAAATTTTCTTCTTATATCCAATAATATTCCCAAATGATTCCATGACTTTTATAACAGTCTAACACAATTTTATCTATATTTAAGGGTCGTTGAAAGTTTATATTGTGTCCGTTAATCATTTTCTGTGTAATTGAATGTATACCACATGTAAACAGACATCATTCAATAGTATCATTTATTTTAGAAAGGAGTTGTTTCACGGTGGCCGCATATCTCAGTTGGTTAGAGCATCGTGCTAATAACGCGAAGGTCGTGGGTTCGATCTTCCTGTGGCCATGCGTTTCCATTCTCAGCTATTGGACTCACAACTCTTAGATAAAACAAATAAATTTAAGATGTTCTAATAGTCTTTAACCAACAAGTCTATTGCTATAAGGTATGACGGTACCAATTGTACAACCCCAGGTGGGCGGAGCTTAGGGTGTAGGAAACATTGCATTCAGAAATAAATAACAAACCTAGCTGTGATTGGTGCATTATGTAAGAGTTGTACTTTCTGTTAGGCTTTTAAAAAAGTTGATCCTCTTGGCAAAATGTGAGATTATGTTAATTCATATAAAGATCATATTTTGTATTTTTTAAGATTTTTTTTTTAAATGTGGTACACATGACTGAAAATGTGACCGGTATAACTAGCTAACTCTTACCACTGTCTAGTTCCAGCCGAGTTATCTCTCTTAAATGCAATGGAGTATCTATTTTGGTTGATATCAAATTAACAATCTAGCATTGTTTTCTGTGACAGTGTGTGACATTCTTGCTGAGGTAGGATAGAAAGTAGATTTATTTCGCTAAACATTAACATTGCGATCTGTGAAAAAACAATTGGTCCTGTGATACCTAAAGGGAAGAACAGCCTCCCAGTGTATCCATAGAAACGCATACAAGTTGGCAGCATTTATAAACTGTACTAGTTTGTTGTAGGAAACCTAACGTATGCTGAACATTTCTGGTCAAATATTGGCAATCTTTTAAGAATAAAATGTAAGAAATCTTAAGAAAATAGCACAAGTTGACTTAGGATTAGGGCTTTTGATGTGACAGACATATTGCCTGATGGTTTTATTTTTGTGTTGTCAGCTCCAAGATTGGCAAATATGCAACGAAGTAAGTTATGTAAACAGATTCTAGTAGATTTTGGCCAAATATTGACTATTTTACCTGTGAAATATTATAAATTATGGAAATTAAAACAACAGGTCCAACATTATTGAGTGGTACCCATATTAGTCACATATTGCCCATTCCTTCCATTCAAGCAATCACTGTTATTCAAGCTTTGCATCCCATCGCAAAAATCCAAATTGGCATGGGATCATATCTACATGTCTATGGAAGGCTGTTCTCTACATGTTGGCATTGTAGACAACATAAACTATGTGAAATCAAACAAGCCGCCTCACCTTAGAGAACAATATTACACCACTCTTAAGGACTCTATTACATACAGAAGCCTGAATATTAGGTTCCCACTTGTCAATAATGTATGTTTTGGGATAATTTAATTGCATCGAAGTTAATACATATGTTAATAATGCCATCTATATTACATAGATAATATATTGGAGGAAATAAAATTACGACACCTTATGTATATAAATCAATTATCTCCCTTACACCAGACATAACATTTCAAGAAATAAAAACTCATATTGTCAGTGATTGGTTATACAAATAAAGAGAAGATTTGTGAAGTACTATATTAGCCATCATTCTTGATGAAACTATAAGTAGAAGCAATTTAATAATTTCTTACAGTAAAGTTTACAAGTTTATAACCTGATAAGTGATGTTTTGTTTGGTTTAGGTATTTTTCTGCATAAGTTTAGGCAGTTTCTGATAATTTCTTATATAAAAGACATATATATTATATGCATCTATATTTTCTAAATTATTCACCCTTAAGTGTTAGATGGGAATGAACACCAATTCACTTGAAATTTCATTGCATGTGATATTGTATCACAGGTTCCTTCGGACTGTCCTTGGACCTATGGGGCACTGCCTCCATATAGTTGTCCAAGGTAAGGTCATGAAACTTTTGCTTCTCATTTTCCTCATTGCTGCTTTTGTCTCCTTTAATTACTTTATTATAAGTTACATCTCTCTTTTAGATACACACCTTCCTCCTGTTTTAACTCCATTCGACTCACTTTACTTATTATCTTTGGCATTTTTCTATATTTTATTCCCCAAATTTCACCCCCAATGCAGCATGACCACATAGAAGTTGTGAATATACTAGATTGGCTTATTGCATTAATTTTATTCACTACACTAAGGAGGGAATGTTTCTATTTGCATTACAAAGAGGATGGGTAGGTTGAACTTTGTATGAGGACTGGAAGTTAGTGACCTCATGTATCTGCAGACAGTGTAAAGTGTTGATTGCTTATACTTTATAATAAGATTGGGTCATGTCCACCTGTCTCTGGTGTTAAGTTCTGCATCTACCAAACAAAGATAAAGTCCTTTAGTTTAGGTGAATTGTACTTAATGAAGTAGAAAAGGTATTAACTGTTCGGTACATTGACCTTTGACCTAATAATTACATAATATGATATGATGTGATTTATTCCATATCACCCATCTAAATTTCAGTAAGTGTTGATGTGGAAAAAAAAACACAACTCATAGTTAAAACAAATAATTTTATTCCAAAAATATGGTTTGTTAGTAAAGCACAGATATGAAAACAGCAGCTGAAAAAGTTCAAAGACAATTACATACACATTAAAATAAAACACAGCTAAGGTACCTCATACAATTGTATCTGACAAGCGAGACTAAGTACATTTGTCACTTGTACAGTCCCAAGCTATATCACAGGTTATTGAAAAAGTTAAGATTGGCTATGGGTATAACGGTACCAATTGTACAGCCCCAGGTGGGCGGAGATTAAGGTGTAAGGAACATTACATTCAGAAATAAACAACAAAACTAGCTGTGATTGGTGCATTATGTAAGAGTTGTACTTTCTATTAGGCTTTAAAAAAAGTTGATCCTCTTGGCAACATGCGAGATTATGTTAATTCATATATAGATCATATTTTGTATTTTTTAAGATTTTTTTAAAATGCGGTACACATGACTGAAAATGTGTCCGTTGTAACTAGCTAACTCTTACCCCTATCTAGTTCTAGCCGATTTATCCCTCTTAAATGCAATGGAGTACCTATTTTGGTTGCTATCAAATTAGCAACATAGCATTCTTATCTGTGATAGTGTGTGATATGCATACTGAGGTAGGATAGAAAATATATTTATTTCGCAAAACATTAACATTGCGGTCTATGGAAAAACTATTGGTACCGTGACACCATAAGTGGCTAGCTCCGCTTCCTATCGGATTATTGGTTTTTCATTGACTAAAGCTGCTACATACTGTGAAGTGACTAAATCAGCTGAACAGGCCTCCAAACGTTTTAAAAACCAACACAAGCTGGAACAACCATATTCAGAAATATATCGATATCTTTAATTATTGCACAATAATAGCTCATATAGCAAAATTTTCATGTGATTCAGAGCCTTGTAAGTTTAGCATGGTTCAAATACATTTTCCGCCTTATCTCGAAGTATTGAATAGACATTGGAATGTTCCTTTTTTGTTTTCCTTAAATACATTTTGAATTTTTTTCATGGCTTTAATAACAGTTACTTATACTTTTAGGTTGCCTATACCACTTCTGAGTATTTTTTTAATACTTGTTACCTCATATCATGTGGTGTAGAGACAGAATGTGTAATATTTCATTTTATTTGCAATAATATTATTTCTAAATAATTCGATGGCTTTTATAAGTCTAGTACAAACATACTATGTTCAAGTGTTTTTGAAACTTCACATTGTCTTTGCTAATCATTTTCTGTGTAATTGAATGTATACCACCTGTAAACAGACTTCACTCAATCTTATGATTTATGGTAGATAGTCGTTGTTTCAGGGTCGCCGCATAGCTCAGTTGGTTAGAGCGACGTGCTAATACCGCGAATGTCGTGGGTTCGATCCCTCCTGTGATCATACTTTTCCATTCTCAGCTATTGACTTCTCCTTTATTTATTTACTCTGCTACAGTATCAAATCAAATTTCCAATATCTGACGGCATCGGAAGTATAACTATTGTAAATCTTCATGTCGTGAATGCATATCCATTCATTTTCTTTTTCCACCGATCTGCCAGTCAAAATTGGTTTCGATACACGTTATAAGATATATGTTCGAGCACGGTTTAAATACCTTGTACGCTCTTTTCTAGTGTACTTTTCCAATAACCAGCCTCTGCTTCCTTTCGGAGTATAATACTTACTAGAAAAACAAAACCTGGCAATGAATATACTCGGCTACAGCCGCTACAGACTGTGCACTGACTACATGAGGTGAACATACCTCACGTATATTTAAAGAACAACACAAACCTGAAAGACCAAATTCAGAAATATTTCCATGTCTTTAATTGTTACATAATAACAGCTCAACAAGTCGCATCAGAACTTTAAAATATTTAGCAGGGAGAACATGACGAAACTGTCCCCTGCCATTAATTATCCGAGAAAGATCCCACAACCTGGAGATGTTTTTATTTATTTTTAGTCACCCACTTGTATCTTCGGGGCGTACTGAATACTTGATTTCCATGCGTACATTTGCGTTTTGTTCCCAACTAATAGACAAAAGATACAGACTGGCGAAAGTTGCTATATCTAGCCTAAGAGGACCCAGGATCGAATCCAGACCTAGACTGAATTATTGATTAACTTGTTCAGCGCTAGAATGTGTTTGTAGTAATTATAGTCCCTAAATTCGCGTAACATAGAAAATAATTAAGTAAATCAATCTCGTAATATAATGTATTGAGTAATTTTCCTTAGGACCGTGCTTAAATTAATGATATATCATTCTCTTAATAATAATAATAATTAGATGGTTATAGATAAGTCTAATTTGTACAATCAGATTGAATTAAGTGACCAAATTAAAACAGACCAAACGAAGCAAAGTCTGTGTCATTAATTCTCAGTATTACGTGGTTTTGTATAATGTTTTTTTTGTTTTTAAAATTTATTTGCACAAATTTAATGTTGCTTAGACCTGACTAATATAAAAATTCATGAAAATAACACTACATAAGTTAAATCATAAAGTCCAAGTTTTTGGATAGGAATAATAAAGCTACACGAAGTGATATCGTAAATTTGACCCGACAAGTCAGTGACGATTCCTAGAATAAAATGTTGATTCTATCCACTCCCAAATTTGTATATGCATGTTTCATGTCCAATTGCCGTTTTTGAGACGAGAAGCTCTTTCTCTGGGTTATAAGTTTGAAAAACATTGTGTAGTTAATAGCTTGATGCTCTTTAAAAAGGCGGTCATTCATGCCGATTTGGAGATATTCTAATAGTCTTGATTTAACGTGTCTATGGCTCTAAGTGGCTAGTTCTGCTTCCTATCCGATTATTGGACTGACTACAGACGCTACATAGTGCAGAGAATAAATAAGCTGAACAGGAAGAGAGAATAAATAAGCAGAACAGGATTCACGCCGTTTACAAAACCAACAGAAGCCGGAACAACCACATTCAGAAATATATCGGTATCTTCAATAATTGCAGAATAATAGCTCAAAAAGGCACAATATAGCCTCAAGTTAAGAAATTTGCCAAGGGGCCAAAGTAACAAGCTGTCCCTTGCCAAATTAGTTGAATAAGATCCCATAACCTTCTCACTCGGATTTTAATCCAACAAGTATATTTAAATTAATTTATAAATTCTAAAGAACAGTTCAGCAAACTGACTAGAACTTGGGAACGTCAACCCGGGCACATCTACCAACTCTTGCTTTAGCGCTGGTCAAAAGATCTCATGAAAACATGGAAAGGAATTATAAATATACAACAAGTGGAAAGCAAGTTGGGACATGGGAATTTTCGAACGCAGTTATCCTGGACAGGTGGCTGAAAATAAACTTTAATCGGCTTTGCATATAAGGTATATTATACGGTATATGCATGTTAGTTTGTTGTTGGCTTCTCTACATAATTTCTTTTATATTTATCGTCATGATTGCACGACTTTTCGCAAATTGGTACAGTTTGCTTAACATCACCGGTTTATTAAAACCAACAATAAACAACAACAACAATCGCATCCCAGTCATTGTATTAAGCGCTTGTTTGTGTCGCGACATAAGTAAATGCCGACGTCCAGGCTTTTCATTCTTTAAGGCGGGCAAATATAATTAATATATACCAGCTTTTGCGACTGAACGGTATTGCTGAAATCTTATTGCAATATTTTCATCTGACTCAGCCTTGTAGAGTTAAACATGTTTCAAATTACATTTTCCGCCTTATCTTGAAGTCTTGAATAGACATTGGAATATACCTCTTTTGTTGCCAATAAATACATTTATGATTATTTTCATGACTTTTATAACAATTTCTTGTTCGGTTACGTTGATTGTATCTCTTCTAACTTTATTCTGATACTTTTTTACCCCGTAGCATGTAGCATGTAGTGTAGAGACAGAATGCATAATATTTCTTCTTATTTGCAATAAACACTTTTCCGAATGATTCCATAGCTTTTATGACAGTTTAGTACAAATCTAATATGTGCATGAGTCGTTGAAACGTTACATTGCCTTCGCTAATCATTTTCTTTGTAACGATGTGTGTGTGTGTGTGTGTGTGTGTGTATATATATATATATATATATATATATATATATATATAGAGAGAGAGAGAGAGAGAGAGAGAGAGAGAGAGAGAGAGAGAGAGAGAGAGAGAGAGAGAGAGAGAGAGAGAGAGAGAGATTACCACGTAAGTAAAGCTACAAGCTCACATATACTGACATTGTTTACTACCGTAACCTTTTGTAATGAGAATTATTTTGAAGTCTAGCGTAGTGGTCTAAAGCGTTCATCTTTTTCGGATCACTGCTATCTCGTCTCTGCTTGATTTTGAGAGGAAACTTGCTAAGAAGCTTTTTGTGAGTCGGTTGTTTTTCCCCATGAATTTTTCAGGGTTCTTCCGCTACAAGTTACAATGGCCACCATGTATAGTGGTCTAAAGCGTTTTTTAGGGTTCTTCCGCTACCAGTTACAATGGCCACCATGTACAGAGTCTAGCAAGCATAACTTATTTTTAAAATTTTAAAATTCACTAATCCAGAACAAGTGCTTTTCATTTATATATAGAGTTAAACATGTTTCAAATTACATTTTCCGCCTTATCTTTAAGTCTTGAATAGACATTGGAATATACCTTTTTATATATTTCATCTACGTTTTTTACCTTTTTGTGATGATGATAATGTTGATCATTATTTTTATTATTATTATTATTATTATTATTATTATTATTATTATTATTATTATTATTATTATTATTATATTATTAAAAATAATTTTTAAATATTGTGTGTCTCTGATTCTTTAATTTGTTTTAGAATATGTGTCAGTTTATAATATCAAGTTCAGTTTTTGTAGAAATGGTTTGCTAGCATTTTCATTCAAAAACTTATTAAAGAAATAAAATACCCTTATAATTACATGTTATACTCTTCTAATTTTAGAACAAAGATTTAATATACGCTTTAATTGAAAAAAATAATTGACATTAGCGTTTATTCTTAACCATTTTCTTCACTACTGGCAATTAATTTGTCTTTAATATTAAAATACATCAATTATAGAACTGTGAGACTTTTGGTATCTCTCATTAAATATAAAATTTTGTTATATATTTTAAATGTTTTGTGTCTGATATTTATTTTCTATCTAGTGTAGTGTTGCTTAATTTTAATAAATAATTGCTATGCGCAGAATTAGATTATAGTCTTCCTTTTTATTCAGTTGATCCCAGTACAAATATTAGCGATGTAACGTCTACACTGTTAGACTGACACCGTCACTTAAATGATTAAATGAAGCCAGAGTGAAATATTTTCCCTCTTTCTTTCCATCTCCAACACAAATGGGGGAAAATAATCATTTACCATTTCTGACTGTGTGTATGTGTGTGTGTCGAATTTTGAAAACTCTTAGAAGCTTTGGTAAAAGGAAGTGCATCAAAGTCAACTCAATTTAAGTAGAAAGGGCTAGAGATAGTTTGATGATTATTTTTATTTCATCTCTGAACGTCAAAAGGGAATTCGTTCTGGCCGACGTAACATGACCGAGTCTGATGCTATGGTACAAGAGAATGACATAAAACCCTTTCCCAAAATCGACGGGTTAAAGGGCGGGAGCTGGCTATAGACGATTGTTCAAAGTAATGTTAATTACGGCATGATTAGTTGTTTAGTTGTCTTGTCAATCCAAAAATTCTACGGAACAGGTTTAGGATACAGTCTATTCCGATTGGTTAATATGGATTTATGGGCGTTACTCTGTAATAAATTAAAGGTTTTACTTTAGGAAAATTCAGCAGTCTTTAATTTTTCGCGAGAAAAGTTAAACGATTCCGGGAAGAGCGTGAAAGACGTTATCTCGTGATTTGGCAGTAAAGCGGGAGGTTTGTCTCAGCGAGTAGGCAAACTCTACATTCTAAATTCGTAAAAAGTACATTTTCATTATAGAGTAAGGGGCCAGATAGTTGTCTCAGTTAGGAGACGGACTATACGTGAGGTTCGTGGAAACGAATAAAGAAACGGCAAAAGGTACGCAATCTTAGTTTCCCGATTTTAATATGTTACTTCATTTGTTGATCTATTTTTCAAATGTATTGTTGATATGATGTATGTATGTATGATTTCATTTTGCAGGATTTTAGTGAAATGCTAGTCATGACATTTTATTATTTGATTTTCTAATTATCAATTCATTTAGAGAATTGGCAAGAGTAAATGTAATTAAAATTTCATTAGATTAGTTGACAAGATTGCATGTAATTGAATCTTTAATACATAGGAGTGATTAGGAAGTTAAATTAATTAAGCTTAAGGAATGATGGGTAATGTTTCATAGTTTTACGGATTAATTCTGTTTAAAATGAGTGTGACCTAATATTAAATGTAT